CGAGTTGGGGCGGTCGGGTAGCCTAGTGGTTAAAGCGTTCGTTCGTCACGCCGAAGACCAGGGTTCGACATGGGTACAACGTGTGAAGTCCATTTCTGGAGTCCCCCGCCGTGATATTGCTGTAATATTGCTAAAAGCGTCGTAAAACCATACTCACTCACTCAGTCACTCACACGCGAGTTACCTCCCTTTCTTGGCCTAGTTTACGGACAGGTCAGTTGATGGCTATATTAACACTCCCAATTCTGGCCATGGTAATGCTGTTTGATTTAAAATACCCATGATGGATATAGCTTGTGGAAACGCTACACTAGGTAAGGATGTCATCTGTGGGATGACTCCACGTCCTGCTACATTTTCATACAATCTGTTTTCCCCACAAACATTAAAAACATTCAATTCAGTCCAGTCATGGATGAATCAATGTATGATATAAATAACAACCTTTACAACAGGAGTCTGTTTATTTTGGAAAACACTGAATATAGGTCAAAACCAGCATAGTATCAGCAAATTGCAGGGGCCTAGCAGATAAAACAAAACGTAAAGAAGTAATGAACCTATGGCAAAAGAAGAGATTTTCTGTAATAATTATGTCTACAAGACATTCATATTTCTAAAGAAGATAAAACAATAGTTCAAAATGAATGGGGACAAATAATGAGAATAAGTCAAATGCAAGAGCAGTTGCCATTTTGTTTTGTTACACTTTAGAAATAAAAATCCATAGATTTAAACGATATGATAGCAGATAGCACAATAGCGGGCATAAGGTGAACTCTAACTTATATTTATTGGCCATATCAAGCTGAACCTGCTTTTTACAAAACTTTATTCAATTATATTGACGAATTTGAAAACCAATCACTGGTTATATGAGGAAATTGGAACTTGGTTCTCAATCTGCTGTCGATTTGGAAAATTATAAGCATATCAACAATCCCAAACCAAGAAAGTTAGTACAAAGTTAGTTGAAAAAACAGAAAGCGTTGATCTAATTGATGTTTGCAGAGACAAAAATCAAGATGCAAAGAAATACACATGGTGGAAGAAAAGGCCAAAACAGCAAGCTAGACTTGACTTCATTTGGACATTTAATACTCGTATACATGAAAACCAACCTGGCTATATCCCTGGGAAATGTATTAGCGAAAACATACCACTACCATATGATATCTTGTTTGAAACAAAAATACAAAATAAGCCTGGTTTACTATTACTTCCAGACTTTGCAAAAGCTTTTGATAAAACAAAAGCATTATGGATAGGGTCAATGACAGGCTGAGACATCAAATTATGGTACGATCTGAAACTAGACTGGAACACTTTACAATGCAGTATGAACATGCTTACAACGAACTGACGGATATAACAAAATATTTCTTGCTCCCGTCCATTTGTTGTATGTACGCTGTACATATGCTTATGACGAAATACAGTTTTAACGAATTAAAATTGGAGGGAATTTGAGGAAAAGAAATGTAACATTGATAAGTAAAATAACTGTTGTCAAAACCTTGGCCCTGTCAACCTAAGTACATATATTTTCCTCTCACCCAAACCCTCCAAGTGAATATATTGATGAACAAAATATTGTACAGATTCATCAGGAATGATAAAAAGGACAAAATATAATGAACACTATCAATTAGAAAATATGACCAAGGTGGACTGTGAATGATAGAGGTAAGTTTTTTTTATAATTTCCCTAAAACTGTCAATTCTCTAAAACTATCTTCAAAACAAAAACTGTTATAACCCTAGCATCTTTCCACTTAAACACATATTCCTATTTGGGGACAATATCGAAAACTGTATACACTTAGCTAACCCTTACTGGAGAGATGTTTTGGCTGCCTGGGGAACATTGTATAGACACAAAACTAACTGCACAAACATTGGAGAGGTACTATCAGAACTTCTTTGGTGTAACCTTTAGTTTAAAAAAAAAGATTTCATTATAATAAATTGTTTTTTAAAGGGAATTTACACTATTAAAGATCTCTGTAATGAAGATGATATATTGCCCTTTAATGGAAATACCAAACTGAAGGCACAATACTTGACTATTACCGGGTTAAAACATACCGAAATCCTGGAAAGAAGCTGTTAAAAATAATCACATTAACTTATATAATTAATATTTAAACACAATTTTGATGGACTAAAGGCTCAAGATATTTTTATGATAAAATTAACACTACAGCAAATCTCCTAACAGTATGGGATGGGATACTATTCTTGACTTAGATATATCATGAAAGGATGTTTCTATCAGATACAGAAAATGTACAATATATGTAAAATTACTTGATTTCCAATATAAATTTATTCATCGCATCATCTATACAAAGAAAGAATTGTTTAAAATGAACATTCTCGATGATGATCTATGCTCATTTTGTGAAACTGATACTGAATTCTTACTTCATGTATATTGGGATTGTAAGCATGTTAAAGAGTTTTGGGCCAAAGCAGAATCATTTTCTGAATGCAAAATGTTCAAAACAATTCACATTTACAAAATGCTCTGTTTTACTTGGGTAAACACGCTAACATTCTGTTAAATCACATACTGGAATGAAAAAAAAATATACATGTATCAAGCATTAAGAAAAACTAATTGTCACTTGAAAAACTTTCTGAAGATTTAATCGATATATTTTGGATAGAAAAAATAATTGCACACACAAATAATACAAAAAGACAGTTTGACAGAAAATGGTAACATTTGGCAAATGAATTTTCTAGTTCATATGATTAACTGCACACCTAGCTAATGGTGACCCCATTAAGCATGGCAAATATAGCCTGCTCGTTTCACCATTTGTTAACATTGTTGTACACCTGTAGCCAACTAACATTTGCTGTATAGGTATGTAACCTCCACCTAATAAGTATATTACATGTCATGTTACACAATGTAAATCTATGTAACATTAAAAGTATTAAAAACAACAACAACAACAAATCACATTGACACGCAGTCTAAAGACATGGTAATAATTACATCAACAGAAATAAAATAACCATTGGCTATCGTTAGAATGTAAAATGCTGCATTTTCATTGGATTATAGATGCAATGGATATTATACACTTTCATTTGAATGAACATGAATAAATTGACTTTACTTGATTGACATTTATGCTTATCTTATCTATGCTGAAGCGGAAACTTGCCCTAGACTCGCTAGGGGCGTCAATCAGTCATCCTTCATTACAAATGACGGACAACGTCACAAGGGACCGACAGGTCAAGCTGTGACACTTCACTATTTAGCATTATACCTTGTATTGTGTGACGTCAGTGCGCCAACTGTGCTGGACCTTGAGGTTCAGTGAGTGAGTGAGTGAGTGAGTTAGAGAGTTGGGTTTAACGCCGCTTTCAACAGTATTCCAGTCATATCACGGCGTGATAGCTTAATGTGGGAGGAAAGCCCGAAGTGATGCAGGTCTCAGACGTTTACCACTTCATTGAAACCCACAAGCACGAGTGTGGTGCTGACAAACCTAGAAACATAATCGGGGCGAACCGGGATTCAAACCCACAGAGAATCGCGGCGCCTTAGACGACTGGGCCACCCGTGCCCCCCTTGAGGTTCACTTTACTTTTAACTTCTAACTTTATATTTCTTTATGTGAATAAGTTATGGAAATCTGTATGCACATTGTAAATATATATACATATAAAGTACCTGTATGACAAAGTCAAAGTAGGAAATTACATCAAAAATATTTTTGTCACTGATGCGTCAAATTTGGGAATGTCTCCACATGTCTACTTTTTGAAGGCTTTACTGAGGCCTTGAATGTAATGTCCTGAATGTCCTGTTTGTCCGAAAACAATTAGGGCACTGTAGAACTAGTCAGGACATCAAGCGAATTTATTAGAGGTAAGACATACATCAACCTGTACGATAATAATGCATATATCACCAGTAGGTAGATTATTCATGGATGTAAATAGCGTAGTGATGCACAGTGGTAATTAGGTCATGTCTGACAAGTGCTGCGAACATTCAGTGATGGATAAACATTGCTATCAACAATGAAAATGTAACAATGTAACTTTCTATGATGCTGAAATCTTATTATTTACTTTAATGTTTTATTTCTTATGATTAAATTCACAATATTTTCCAGCAACATAGCGTCAGTGGCTGAAATCTTGGGCGATGGTTAACTCTATAAACAAGTGGAATTTACAAAACTATCAGTTGCTTTTATCATTTGGTATTGTCCTCAAGATGTACAAAGTGTCCGAATGGACGTCCGTGGGTCGATGCTCATGATATCAATCACTGGATTGTCTGTTCGAGACTCGATTATTTACAGACCGCCGTCATATAGCTGGAATATTGCTGAGTGCGACGTTAAACAACCAACCAACCAACCGAATAGATCAAACATGATAAACAAACTGATTTGACCTGATATCTTAGATTACAAAATTTAGGACAAGCATGGTTCAGACCGAGCGACAAATAAACCCTCATTCCAGGCATTGATATTGTCCTTTAATAATTCGGACAGTAACAAGATGGACTAAAATACTCATCAAATGCTAACTGAAAAAACGGACAAACATATTGTCAATATTGCCTTAAATTGTCGGCAGTGTATGTCAAACCAGGGAACGAATATCATATTACAGGTACAAATGCAAGAGATATAGGAACGTATACATTGTGTGCCTATGTGTCTGAATAATGCATGTATAGTGTAGACAACAGGAAAATACTTTATCATGACTCTATGACTTTGATGTGAAAACGGACATCCCAGTTATTAACAGTCATTATGCCAAACATAAACATAATTGACAGGTCACCGAAACCTTAGACATGATTTGTTTGTTTGTTTGTTTGTTGTTTAACGCCGCACTCAGCAATATTCCAGCTATATGACGGCGGTCTGTAAATAATCGAGTCTGGACCAGACAATCCAGTCATTAATATCATGAGCATCGATCCACGCAATTGGGATCGATGACAAGTCAAGTCAGCGAGCCTGACCACCCGATCCCGTTAGTCGCCTTTTACGACAAGCAAAGTCGCCTTTTACGGCAAGCATGGATTGCTGAAGACCTATTCTACCCGGAATCTTCACGGGTCCTTAGACATGACAAACAGCGGATGGAATAAGTCATTCAGTGCCATCAAGTTAAGTTACCCTTAATATCCAATATAATATCAAATCCAGAGATATACTTTAAAACACGCTAGAGGAAGAAATGAATCGGGAAATCTTCAATAAGTAGTGCATTAGGTATTTGTTTATCAAGGCAAAATGTCAACTTACTTTCTAAAAATAGCCACGATGCAAGAGTGTAGACAAGAAATAGTCCCTGACAAACATCGCTGTCATCATTAAAATACATCCAAAGATTGAACAGATATAATCACATGGTAACATGACATACATCAATTAATTAATTAAAACCACATTAATTAAATTTACAATATTTTACACCAACATAGCGTCAGTACCCACTCGTTCCTAGTCAACTGGATGACTCGGACCCAAGTGTTAGACAACCCGTTCAAACTCGTTCCTAATCACCTGGTATATTCGTACCTAAGTGTTGGACAACACGTACCAACTGGTTCCTAATCAACTGGATGACTCGTATCCAAGTGTTGGACAAGCCGTACCCACTCGTTCCTAATCACCTGGTTTATTCGTACCTAAGTGTTGGACAACCCGTACCCACTCGTTCATAATCAACTGGATGACTCGTATCCAAGTGTTGGACAAGCCGTACCCACTGGTTCCTAATCAACTGGATTACTCGTACCTAAGTGTTGGATACCCGAACCCACTCGTTCCTAATCAAATGAATAACTCGTATCCAAGTGTTGGACAAGCCGTACCCACTTGTACATAATCAACTGAATGACTCGTACCCAAGTGTTGGACAAGCCGTACCCACTCGTTCCTAATCAACTTGATGACTCGTACCCAAGTGTTGGACAACCCGTACCTACCTTTTCCTAATCAACTGGATGAATCATACCCAAGTGTTGGACAAGCCGTACCCACCCGTTCCTAATCAACTGGATGACTCGTACCCAAGTGCTGGACAACCCGTACCCACTTGTTCCTAATCAGCAGGATGACTCCTACGCCCAAAAGGCGAATCCGTACCCAATGAAACTACACATGATTTGTCACACCAAGGCAAACCTTTCTCCAGCAGAGAGAGAGATATCAGCTTTCAGACTGCAGCTCTCTAGGTGACGAGGCCACTTGAGGACTAATATCACAAACCACAGACATTGATGGGGTGAGCAATTAAGGCCACTTGAAGACAAACCTCAGACATTGACTGAGTTGAGCAATTAAGGCCACTTGAAGACAAACCTCAAACATTGATTGAGTTGAGCAATTAAGGCCACTTGAAGACAAACCTCAGACATTGACTGAGTTGAGCAAGTAAGGCCACTTGAAGACAAACCTCAAACATTGATTGAGTTGAGCAATTAAGGCCACTTGAAGACAAACAGCGGACATTGGTCGAGTGAATTGGTTGATTGTTCATTCACCAATGAATGAATGAATTTTTGAAATGTAAAATTAATGAATTTTAAAATGTAAAATGAATGAATGTTTGTATTGTATAATGAATAAAGTTCAGAAACGTATACAGGGTGAATGCTTGAAATGTAAAAAGAATGAATTGGGGAAATGTAATAGTGCAATGAACAGATTGTTATGAAAGTGCAGGTCAGAATATATGAGAATTTAGTGTTGAATAAATGATTAGAAACATGTTTTCTTGCTCTGTACCTGTTAAAGCAATCCAGTTTGGGGCATTTTGCTTTAAAAACCTAAATGGGTAGGGGTAATCCCAATTTAGATACCGATCCTTCAAATTGGGGCACGGGCAAGCCAAATAAAACATGACAGCACCAAAACAGATACGAATCTGGCGAGACTTTTTGTTACGAGTTAGCCATTTTCGTTGGGTACAAATCTTCATGGTTACGGATGGTTTAGTATCCTTCATGATTACAAGGAGACACGCGTATAATTTACGAAAATATATATCTTTAAAACACATTCTGTCCAAAACCATGGCTTGTTTCTTTTGTGTCTTGGGTAGTGATTATTGCACTCCAGACTTCGGTAGCATATCATAAACTTTAGTGTTTATTCCCGTGACTGGGTCCTTGTCAAACTGACTCACTCAGTAATGTACTCGTTCTTTTTATGGCTGAATTTTCATTCACCTCGGCCAGATGTTTAAACCAAAGGAGGTGATTCACTATGGACACGCTGCTTCCCTCACATGTCCACATTCATTGTTGTCTTCATCAGTTAGAGACAGATCAGCTCCCTCCAACACAAGAAGATCATAAACATCAGAGTGTCCTCTTTCAGCTGCAATCATAACTGCTGTTTGTTTCCGTGACCCCCCACGTCTGTTGATGTCAAATGTTTTCAAGGACAGGAGGTGTTTCACTATAGACACGTTACCTCTCTTACATGCCAACATCAGACAGTCCATGTTGCATTCATCAGGAAGTGACAGATCAGCTCCCTCCAACACAAGAAGATTATAAATATCAGAGTGTCCTCTTTCAGCTGCCCTCATAACTGCTGTTTGTTTCTGTGACCCCCCTCGTCTGTTGATGTCAAATGTTTTCAAGGACAGGAGGTGTTTCACTATAGACACGTTACCTCTCTTACATGCCAACATCAGGCAGTCCCTGTTGCATTCATCAGTAAGTGACAGGTCAGCTCCCTCCAACACAAGAAGATTATAAATATCAGAGTGTCCTCTTTCAGCTGCCCTCATAACGGCTGTTTGTTTCTGTGACCCCCCTCGTCTGTTGATGTCAAATGTTTTCAAGGACAGGAGGTGTTTCACTATAGACACGTTACCTCTCTTACATGCCAACATCAGGCAGTCCCTGTTGCATTCATCAGTAAGTGACAGGTCAGCTCCCTCCAATACAAGAAGATTATAAATATCATAGAGTCCTCTTTCAGCTGCCCTCATAACTGCTGTTTGTTTCTGTGACCCCCCTCGTCTGTTGATGTCAAATGTTTTCAAGGACAGGAGATGTTTCACTATAGACACGTTACCTCTCGTACATGCCAACATCAGGCAGTCCCTGTTACATTCATCAGTAAGTGACAGGTCAGCTCCCTCCAATACAAGAAGATTATAAATATCAAAGAGTCCTCTTTGAGCTGCCCTCATAACTGCTGTTTGTTGCCCCCACCCTCGTCTGTTGACGTCAAATGTTTTCAAGGACAGCAGGTGTTTCACTATAGACACGTTACCTCCATCACATGCCAACATCAGGATGTCCCTGTTGTCTTCATCAGTTAGTGACAGATCAGCTCCATCCAAAACAAGAAGATTATAAACATCATAGTGTCCTCTTTCAGCTGCCCTCATAACTGCTGTTTGTTGCCCCCACCCTCTTCTGTTGACGTCAAATGTTTTCAAGGACAGGAGGTGTTTCACTATAGACATGTTACCGCCCTTACATGCCAACATCAGGCAGTCCATATTGTATTCATCAGTAAGTGACAGATCGGCTCCCTCCAATACAAGAAGATTATAAACATAAGAGTGTCCTTTTTCAGCTGCCATCATAACTGTTGTTTGTTTCTGTGACCCCCCTCGTCTGTTGATGTCAAATGTTTTCAAGGACAGGAGGTGTTTCACTATAGAGACGTTACCTCCATCACATGCCAACATCAGGCAGTCCCTGTTGCATTCATCAGTTAGTGACAGATCAGCTCCCTCCAACACAAGAAGATTATAAACATCAGAGTGTCCACTTTGAGCTGCCCTCATAACTGCTGTTTGATTAGACAACCCCCATCGTCTGTTGATGTCAAATATTTTCAAGGACAGGAGGTGTTTCACTATAGACACGTTACCGCCCTTACATGCCAACATCAGGCAGTCCATATTGTATTCATCAGTAAGTGACAGATCGGCTCCCTCCAATACAAGAAGATTATAAACATAAGAGTGTCCACTTTCAGCTGCCCTCATAACTGCTGTTTGTTTCTGTGACCCCCCTCGTCTGTTGATGTCAAATGTTTTCAAGGACAGGAGGTGTTTCACTATAGACACGTTACCTCCATCACATGCCAACATCAGGATGTCCCTGTTGTCTTCATCAGTTAGTGACAGATCAGCTCCATCCAAAACAAGAAGATTATAAACATCATAGTGTCCTCTTTCAGCTGCCCTCATACCTGCTGTTTGTTGCCCCCACCCTCTTCTGTTGACGTCAAATGTTTTCAAGGACAGGAGGTGTTTCACTATAGACACGTTACCGCCCTTACATGCCAACATCAGGCAGTCCATATTGTATTCATCAGTAAGTGACAGATCGGCTCCCTCCAATACAAGAAGATTATAAACATAAGAGTGTCCACTTTCAGCTGCCATCATAACTGTTGTTTGTTTCTGTGACCCCCCTCGTCTGTTGATGTCAAATGTTTTCAAGGACAGGAGGTGTTTCACTATAGAGACGTTACCTCCATCACATGCCAACATCAGGCCGTCCCTGTTGCATTCATCAGTTAGTGACAGATCAGCTCCCTCCAACACAAGAAGATTATAAACATCAGAGTGTCCACTTTGAGCTGCCCTCATAACTGCTGTTTGATTAGACAACCCCCATCGTCTGTTGATGTCAAATATTTTCAAGGACAGGAGGTGTTTCACTATAGACACGTTACCGCCCTTACATGCCAACATCAGGCAGTCCATATTGTATTCATCAGTAAGTGACAGATCGGCTCCCTCCAATACAAGAAGATTATAAACATAAGAGTGTCCACTTTCAGCTGCCATCATAACTGTTGTTTGTTTCTGTGACCCCCCTCGTCTGTTGATGTCAAATGTTTTCAAGGACAGGAGGTGTTTCACTATAGGCACGTTACCTCCATCACATGCCAACATCAGGCAGTCCCTGTTGCATTCATCAGTTAGTGACAGATCAGCTCCCTCCAACACAAGAAGATTATAAACATCAGAGTATACACTTTCAGCTGCCACCATAACTGCTGTTTGATTCCACAACCCCCATCGTCTGTTGATGTCAAATGTTTTCAAGGACAGGAGGTGTTTCACTATATACACGTTATCTCTCTCACATGCCAAATTCAGGCAGCCCCTGTTGTCTTCATCAGTAAGTGACAGATCAGCTCCCTCCAACACGAGAAGATTATAAACACCATAGTGTCCTTTTTCAGCTGCTATCATAACTGCTGTTTGTTTCTGTGACCCCCCACGTCTGTTGATGTCAAATGTTTTCAAGGACAGGAGATGTTTCACTATAGACACGTTACCTCCCTCACATGCCAACATCAGGCAGTCCCTGTTGTCTTCATCAGTTAGTGACAGATCAGCTCCCTCCAACACAAGAAGATTATAAACACCATAGTGTCCTCCTTCAGCTGCCCTCATAACTGCTGCTTGTTTCTGTGATCCCCCACGTCTGTTGATGTCAAATGTTTTCAAGGACAGGAGATGTTTCACTATAGACACGTTACCTCCCTCACATGCCAACATCAGGCAGTCCCTGTTGTCTTCATCAGTAAGTGACAGATCAGCTCCCTCCATTACGAGAAGATTATAAACACCATAGTGTCTTTTTGCAGCTGCCACCATAACTGCTGTTTGTTTCTGTGACCCCCCACGTCTGTTCATGTCAAATGTTTTCAAGGACAGGAGGTGTTTCACTATAGACACGTTACCTCCATCACATGCCAACATCAGGCAGTCCCTGTTGTCTTCATCAGTTAGTGACAGATCAGCTCCCTCCAACACAAGAAGATTATAAACACCATAGTGTCCTTTTTCAGCTGCCATCATAACTGCTGTTTGATTCGACAACCCCCCTCGTCTGTTGATGTTGAATGTTTTCAAGGACAGGAGATGTTTCACTATAGACACGTTACCTCCCTCACATGCCAACATCAGGCAGTCCCTGTTGTCTTCATCAGTTAGTGACAGATCAGCTCCCTCCAACACAAGAAGATTATAAACACCATAGTGTCCTTTTTCAGCTGCCATCATAACTGCTGTTTGATTCCACAACCCCCCTCGTCTGTTGATGTCGAATGTTTTCAAGGACAGGAGATGTTTCACTATAGACACGTTACCTCCCTCACATGCCAACATCAGGCAGTCCATGTTGTCTTCATCAGTAAGTGACAGATCAGCGCCCTCCAACACAAGAAGATCATAAACATCATAGTGTCCTCCTTCAGTTGCCAACATAACTGCTGTTTGATTCCACAACCCCCCTCGTCTGTTGATGTCGAATGTTTTCAAGGACAGGAGATGTTTCACTATAGACACGTTACCTCCCTCACATGCCAACATCAGGCAGTCCATGTTGTCTTCATCAGTAAGTGACAGATCAGCGCCCTCCAACACAAGAAGATCATAAACATCATAGTGTCCTCCTTCAGCTGCCATCATAACTGTTGTTAGTTTTTGTGATCCCCAACGTCTGTTGATGTCAAATGTTTTCAAGGACAGGAGATGTTTCACTATAGACACGTTACCTCCATCACATGCCAACATCAGGCAGTCAATGTTGTCTTCATCAGTAAGTGTCAGATCAGCTCCCTCCAACACAAGAAGATCATAAACATCATAGTGTCCTCTTTCAGCTGCAATCATAACTGCTGTTTGTTTCCGTGACCCACCACGTCTGTTGATGTCAAATGTTTTCAAGGACAGGAGGTGTTTCACGATATACACGTTACCTCTCTTACATGCCAACATCAGGCAGTCCCTGTTGTCTTCATCAGTTAGTGACAGATCAGCTCCCTCCAACACGAGAAGATTATAAACACCATAGTGCCTTTTTTCAGCTGCCATCATAACTGCTGTTTGTTTCTGTGACCCCCCACGTCTGTTGATGTCAAATGTTTTCAAGGACAGGAGATGTTTCACTATAGAGACGTTACCTTCCTTACATGCCAACATCAGGCAATCCCTGTTGTATTCATCAGCAAGTGACAGATCAGCTCCCTCCATCACAAGAAGATTATAAACATCATGGTATCCTCTTTCAGCTGCCAACATAACTGCTGTTTGTCCCCGTGACCCCCATCGTCTGTTGATGTCAAATGTTTTCAAGGACAGGAGATGTTTCACTATAGAGACGTTACCTCCCTCGCATGCAAACATCAGGCCGTCCCTGTTGCGTCTATCACTAAGTGACAGATCAGCTCCCTCCAACACAAGAAGATTATAAACTTCATAGTGTCCTCTTCCAGCTGCCATCATAACTGCTGTTTGTCCCCGTGACCCCCATCGTCTGTTGATGTCAAATGTTTTCAAGGACAGGAGGTGTTTCACTATAGACACGTTACGTCCCTCACATGCCAACATCAGGCAGTCCCTGTTGACTTCATCACTAAGTGACAGATCAGCTCCCTCCAACACAAGAAGATTATAAACATCATAGTGTCCACTTCCAGCTGCCATCATAACTGCTGTTTGTTTCGACCACCTCCCTCGACTGTTGATGTCAAATGTTTTCAAGGACAGGAGGTGTTTCAATATAGACACGTTACCTCCCTCACATGCCAACATCAGGCAGTCCATGTTGTCTTCATTAGTAAGTGACAGATCAGCTCCCTCCAACACAAGAAGATTATAAACATCAATGTGTCCACTACCAGCTGCCATCATAACTGCTGTTTGTTTCGACCACCCCCCTCGACTGTTGATGTCAAATGTTTTCAAGGACAGGAGGTGTTTAACTATAGACACGTTACGTCCCTCACATGCCAACATCAGGCAGTCCATGTTGTCTTCATTAGTTAGTGACAGATCAGCTCCCTCCAACAGAAGAAGATTATAAACATCATAGTCTCCTCTTCCAGCTGCCATCATAACTGCTGTTTGTTTCCTTAACCCCCTTCGTCTGTTGATGTCAAAAGTGTTCAAGGACAGGAGGTGTTTCACTATAGACACGTTACCGCTCTTACATGCCAACATCAGGCAGTCCATGTTGTCTTCATAAGCAAGTGACAGGTCAGCTCCCTCCAACACAAGAAGATTATAAACATCATAGAGTCCTCCTCCAGCTGCCATCATAACTGCTGTTTGTTTCGACAACCTCCCTCGACTGTTGATGTCAAATGTTTTCAAGGACAGGAGATGTTTCACTATAGACACGTTACCTCCCTCACATGCCAACATCAGGCAGTCCATGTTGTCTTCATCAGCAAGTGACAGATCAGCTCCCTCCAACACAAGAAGATTATAAACATCAATGTGTCCTTTATCAGCTGCCATCATAACTGCTGTTTGTTTCCTTGATCTATCTCGTCTGTTGATGTCAAATGTTTTCAAGGACAGGAGTTGTTTCACTATAGACACGTTACCTCCCTTACATCCCAACATCAGGCAGTCCCTGTTGTCTTCATCAGTAAGTGACAGATCAGCTCCCTCCAAAACAAGAAGATTATAAACATCATTGTCTCCTCTTCCAGCTGCAATCATAACTGCTGTTTGTTGCCACCACCCTCGTCTGTTGATGTTAAATGTTTTCAATGACAGGAGGTGATTCACCATAGCCGAATTACCTCCCTTACATGCCAACATCAGGCAGTCCATGTTGTCTCTATCAATAAGTGACAGATCAGCTCCCTCCAACACAAGCAGATTATAAGCATCATAGTGTCCTCCTTCAGCTGCCATCATAACTGCTGTTTGATGCCTCCACCCTCCTCGCATTTCTATGGTTATGTGTTCACATGTCAACAGATACTCTACAACTGATACATGGCCGTTGCTAGATGCTATGTGGAAAGCGTTCACTTTGAAATAATTTCTGAGAGTAAGATCTGCTTTGTGTGAAACAAGGAACTTGATGATTTCAACCTGCTGTGACTCAGCACACACCATAACAGGGGTGTTTCCCTCACCACTGCGGTCATTGATGAGGTGTTGAAACTTCTCAATAATAACATTTACTATATCTTTGCTTCCTGATTTACATGAAAGATGAAGACAGTTGTACCGATCTTCGTCTGTTGCTGAAACATCAGCTCCCTCTTGGAGGAGGAAGTTGAACACCCCCAACTGTCCTGCTTCAGCAGCAATCATCAGCGGAGTCCTCTCTCCCTTTGTCCTCATGTCTACATCGTATTTCCCATGTTGTTTGAGTACAGCAGCAATATGTTGCAGGTGCCTGAGATTGCCATGTTTTGTACAGCCTATGATACTCTCATAGAAGTCAGCGAGTACAGAATGTGAAAGGCTTCCCTCTCTACTCATCAGTGACAATGTGTGTTCAAACAGTGAATGGTAAGTTGACAGTGAAACCCAGTATAGAAAACATTCGCCTGAGTTCCTATCTTTTCTGTGAACAACATCTGGCAAGTCTGCCGTCATCTGTGTCAAGAAGCCGGAGACTATTTGAGCACTGCTGAATACAGGGTGGCCTACTGTCCATCTGAAGCATCCTTCTTGGACACCCTCCACCAATCTGCTGATCACTAACGGGTGGAGACTTGAGGTGATGTAGATCATGTTTGTGACATCATCAGTGTGGGTTGTCTGCTGGTGATCAGCCTTGTTCAGCCTCACTCTTTCATATAAAAACTGCAGGGAACAATGTTCCAGTAACAAATCTTCATTGAGATTCCCCAAGGCACATGCTGCAGCATCATAGATGGAGGGATGGGAGAAGGAGGCTACATGATTCTCCACTGTACAGTAGGTGCCAGTACAGTTGCTGATCTCCCTGCCAATGTCTGTCCGAGTGCAAGACACGACATCCTCCTTTACAGCCTGGAACAGTTCAGTGAGATTCTTCTCCTTCCCCTTAAAAGAGGCAAGGTTCAATTTCCCTCCACACAGGACGAGGAGAACCAGAGCTGCCGACCTGCTGCTGCCTTCACGGACAATGGTGTCAAGGTCACCTCTCAGGTAGGTCACAGGGTTCTGAAAGAAGTCGATTATGTTGTGCATCTGGAAGGCTGGGTTTGTACAGTATAGTTTACAGATCAGAGGAAAGCCAAACCTGCTGTCTTGTAACTGAGTAATGGTTTTCATGTCCTTATTGGAAATATCGCACATTTGGCATTTCCTGAACAATGTCAGAATATGTTTCTTTTCTTCTGTGGTTAAACAAGTCTTGATCATATCAACAATGGCTTCCGGCTTAAACAGATTTACTTTGAACTGATGCAGTCGTGCACATCCTTCATTCCAGTTGTAGCTTCTGGATGTGAATATAAAGCGAAGCTTGTAGTTACACACTAGTGTCTTTTCATCTTCACATTGCTTCTCATCTTCCTTCTTCCTTCTTTTGTTAATTTTCTTCTGGGGTTGTTTTTCCTTGGCTTTCAGTTCCTTGTCTCTTGTAAAGTGCAGTAAAACATCAACCAAGGCATTGAACATTTTGTGTAACTTCTCCAAGCTGCTTGGAAATGCAACAGAGCCAAAGACATCGTCAAACACAAGCAGCATGTCACACTTCCGCTTAATGACGACATCCCTGTCAAACTCTTCAATACTTTCAACAAACAATACTTGATACTTTTTCTTCATATATGCTTCACAGATCCTGAGAGCTGCACTAGTTTTCCCGTCTCCAGGGGCTCCGCAGATGGCCACGTGGTTGTGCCTTTTCAGAAGTTCTTTTGCTTTGTCAAGAGCATGGGTTTCCACAAACATATCACTGAGCTGGTTGATCCTAACACTGAGACACTCTGAAAACAATGACATCAAATATAATGCGTATATGAACATCATATTTCCTTTTCTATTTAAAAACTTAAATTGTAATTCCGTGTTTGCTAAATCTCAGGTTATGAGTTTAATTCTTGAGAACATGTAAAGCTATTCACAATGGCTTGTTTCATTGCCTCTCCTACCTTGAGATATACAGCCTTGATGTCTGCCATCCTCCATTGCCACGTTAGAGGAGTTGGACAGGTCGTAATGTGAAACTGTAGAAGCTGGAGCAAAAATGAACGAAGTTAGGGTGTATTCCACTGAAATACAACATCTTCTTGTCAGATTCTTTGTTTTGTTTACATGCTGAGGGAAATGATGCAAGTCTTAGATGTTTACCACTTTGGTGAAACCAAAAAGTACATTTCTGATTCTGAAAAAGCGTGGAACATAATCAACATATAAATTTAAACAAAAGATCACAGGTTTCTTCAACAACCATGGGACGGAACTCTACACAGTGAATTATGGTGCCTAGATGACCTCCGGCCTCTTTTTGTTTTCCTCAAAAAGAAAACTAAGTCAGATTTTGCATACAGCCTCACCAAAGTAGTTGTGGGTTGTTGTGGAAATGGACTGTGCCACCTGCTGCTGACTTCCCTCTGTGGCAGCTACAGTATCTGTGAAAGGTCTAGCCACAGTGCCATCTGGTGTTGATGTATTGAGTTGTCTCCCCTGTTGCTGACTTCCCTCTGTGGCAGCTACAGTATCTGTGAAAGGTCTAGCCACAGCGCCATCTGGTGTTGATGTTGTAGTGAGTTGTCTCCCCTGCTGCTGACTTCCCTCAGTGGCAGCTACAGTATCTGTGAAAGGTCTAGCCACAGCGCCATCTTGTGTTGATGTATTGAGTTGTCTCCCCTGTTGCTGACTTCCCTCTGTGGCAGCTACAGTATCTGTGAAAGGTCTAGCCACAGTGCCATCTGGTGTTGATGTATTGAGTTGTCTCCCCTGTTGCTGACTTCCCTCTGTGGCAGCTACAGTATCTGTGAAAGGTCTAACCACAGCGCCATCTGGTGTTGATGTTGTAGAGAGGTGTCTCCCCTGTTGCTGACTTCCCTCTGTGGCAGCTACAGTATCTGTGAAAGGTCTAGCCACAGCGCCATCTGGTGTTGATGTTGTAGTGAGTTGTCTCCCCTGCTGCTGACTTCCCTCAGTGGCAGCTACAGTATCTGTGAAAGGTCTAGCCACAGCGCCATCTTGTGTTGATGTATTGAGTTGTCTCCCCTGTTGCTGACTTCCCTCTGTGGCAGCTGCAGTATCTGTGAAAGGTCTAGCTACAGCGCCATCTTTTGTTGATGTTGTAGTGAGTTGTCTCCCCTGCTGCTGACTTCCCTCTGTGGCAGCTGCAGTATTTGTGAAAGGTCTAGCCACAGCGCCATCTGGTGTTGATGTAGTGAGTTGTCTCCCTTGTTGCTGACTTCCCTCTGTGGCAGCTACAGTATCTGTGAAAGGTCTAGCCACAGCGCCATCTTGTGTTGATGTATTGAGTTGTCTCCCCTGTTGCTGACTTCCTTCTGCAACATCTACGGTATTTGTGGAAGGTCCGACCACAGCGCGATCTGGTGTTGATGTTGTAGTGAGTTGTCTCCCCTGTGGCTGACTTCCCTCTTTGGCAGCTACAGTACCTTTGAAAGGTCTAGCCACAGCGCCATCATGTGTTGATGTATTGAGTTGTCTCCCCTGTTGCTGACTTCCCTCTGTGGCAGCTACAGTATCTGTGAAAGGTCTAGCCACAGCGCCATCTTTTGTTGATGTTGTAGTGAGTTGTCTCCCCTGCTGCTGACTTCCCTCTGTGGCAGCTACAGTATCTGTGAAAGGTCTAGCCACAGCGCCATCTGGTGTTGATGTAGTGAGTTGTCTCCCTTGTTGCTGACTTCCCTCTGTGGCAGCTACAGTATCTGTGAAAGGTCTAGCCACAGCGCCATCTTGTGTTGATGTATTGAGTTGTCTCCCCTGTTGCTGACTTCCTTCTGCAACATATACAGTATTTGTGGAAGGTCCGACCACAGCGCCATCTTGTGTTGATGTCGTAGTGAGTTGTCTCCCCTGCTGCTGACTTCCCTCAATGGCAGCTACAGTATCTGTGAAAGGTCTAGCCACAGCGCCATCTTGTGTTGATGTTGTAGTGAGTTGTCTCCCCTGTGGCTGACTTCCCTCTGTGGCAGCTGCAGTATCTGTGAAAGGTCTAGCCACAGCGCCATCTGGTGTTGTTGTTGTAGTGAGTTGTCTCCCCTGCTGCTGACATCCCTCAATTGCAGCTACAGTATCTGTGTAAGGCCTAGCCACAGAGCCATCTTGTGTTGATGTTGTAGTGAGTTGTCTCCCCTGCTGCTGACTTCCCTCAATGGCAGCTACAGTATCTGTGAAAGGTCTAGCCACAGCGCCATCTTGTGTTGATGTATTGAGTTGTCTCCCCTGTTGCTGACTTCCCTCTGTGGCAGCTACAGTATTTGTGAATGGTCTTGCCACAGCGCCATCTTCTGGCACGTTGTCGTCAGTTTCCATCCTCCAAAAGCATTTCAGATTCCAAGAACATGAAGGAGACTCTGAAACAAACAAAAGGGGGGGCATTAACCTATGGCTTGATGGTTTCTTCTGGGTTAAGAATCACATTTAGTGTTCAGGATACTTATAATAAACAATTACTCAAGTTGTACTTTTTAGCATGCAATGCAAATGGACCAGTAGTAGTAGTAGTAGTAGTAGTAGTAGTAGGAGTAGTAGTAGTAGTAGTAGTAGTAGTAGTAGGAGTAGTAGTAGTAGTAGTAGTAGTAGTAGTAATAGTAGTAGGAGTAGTAGTAGTAGTGGTAGTAGTAGCGGCACAAGTGGTAACCACGGTTCTAGTGAGTGAGTGAGTGAGTGAGTGGTTTTACGCCGCTTTTAGCAATATTCCAGCAATATCAAGGCGGGGGACACCAGAAATGGGCTTCACACATTGTACCCATGTCGGGAATCGAACCCGGGTCTTCGGCGTGACTAGCGAACGCTTTAACAACTAGGCTACCCGACCGCCCCACCACGGTACTAATCTGGAAGGGGAACAAAGTATGACGGTATAACCAGGGTGGAAACAAGTCACACACCTGGAGCTCAGTGATGTGCTTCAGCGGTTTTGTCAGACACGATCTGTCTAAGGTCTAAATGAATGGGTATGAGTATATGTGTACATGATAACTTTGATCCAGAGGATCAATTACAGTGCAAAGAAATTTTGTACCTGCACTGTCATAAAGCACACATGCGTAACCAAGAAGATATAACAAATTGTAATTTGCATGTGGTACTTACAGAGTCAGGAATGAGAATATTTATGCAATATAAAAGTAGAAGACAAAAGAAACCCTCCTGTTCTGGCAAGGTAAACAGATTTTCAAAACTCCAAGCCATCACACTAATTTCAACCATGGTGCTAGCATCATGTTGCACGTTACAAGGATGACATACCTTAATTCAAACAGTGTTTTCCAAGTTACAGAATCAAATAAACTGTAAATTCCAACTTGAGTCATGTCAGTCATGTCAGTCATCTTTACAGTCGCCATCTTGGATTTTCTGACGTCACGATTTCTGATCATGTTACCGTAGGTCATCTATAAATAGACCTGTCAAGGTTAACTTTGGAGCGGCAATTTTGACTTTTGACAAGCATGGTAATCCTAAGAGATTTTTATTTTATAGCTTTTAATAAAAATGGCTAATATTAACACTTGGTCTGCTCTCTAAGTATTTGATTGCGGATTAGTAATTATTAACTTTTGAGGACATCCGGATGACGTCTGACAATTCCGAGATTCCGACATCCATTCCGGATTCATTTCGACGGAATATTCCAAGATCGTAATTATTCAAGCATACAAGTTACAGTTATTGCAAGTCTCAAGTGATTTGTCGTCCGTATAAAATATTACAATTCACAGTCTACATTTAGATGTTTTGACAGACGTCGGTTGCCTTCGCGATCCAGGGTTGGGGGTGGGAGCTCGTTCCGACCGGATTGTTTACTTTATCATTATCATCATTGCGTGATGATGCCATCACAGTCAAGGGTTTTTATCAACCGATGTTTACAGGGACCTCTCTAGAATCGATTCTATATATTTAATTCCAAACTTTCATGCTGACTTATTTTGCTATTAGACAGCTCTCGGGGGTGTGGCTTCAGTGTTATTTGTTCTGGGTCACAGACAAGTATGCGTATGCGTATTTCCAAGGAACTCGATGCTTGCCTGTATAGCATAATATATTCGGATAGAAAAAAATCACACCTCTACATGGAATTTTATGCAATAAATATCTTATCTAATCTAATGATTCTTTGTTGTATGATAGTGTGTGACAGTTGTGTAAGGGGGTATTGGTGGCCCAGTCGTCTAAGATGCATTTCGCTGTGCAGGGCACTCCAGAAACCTATGACAGTGTGTTTGAATTCAGGTTTATGTTTCTAGGTCTGTCAGCACCATTCCCGTACTCATGGGTTTCACCAAAGTGGTAAACATCTGAGACCTGCATCACTTAAACAATTCGGGCTTTCCTCCAACATCAAGCTAATATGCCGTGATATAACTGGAATACTTTTCAAAGCGGCGTTAAACCCATCTCACTCACTCATTCATTCATTACTGTGGTAGACGGTTCCGTTTGGTAAGCAGGGTTCGTGTTGTGATTACTTCCGGTTTAGATTTGAAGTATGTTCAGAAGAATATTACGATGTTGAACCCAATATGGTGAATATATCATGCAACGTATTATTTTTTAGGAAAATAATTGCAATCTACAGACCATCTCTGCCGGAAGTTACCAACAATGTCAAAGCAACCGAACATGTAGAGTTGTAAAGGGTTTGAATCATGCATTACATACAGTGAATTACTTGAAACAATACTATGCTCAACTTTGCAAGTACCCTACATGACATTATCAAGACGAATAAGTTCTCATATCAAACCAGTTGTTTGACATGTGTTGTTTATTGAACAAAGTCATACTGTATAGAAGCCTGGTATTTCATCGTGTTGAATAATTAGTTGCAAAAGCATTGTGAAGAGAGAAAGATTGAGTGCGCGTCACCTGCATGTTTGACCTGACCGCCTCCCTGGCAGCCTGAATAACTTACCATACACTGAAAGGTAGTGCGCAATAGAGCTATTCATCCGTATAATCACTCACCCTCCAAACCCGCGGCAGCTCACAGCTTGAATAAGATACGAAGTACAACATTACCAGGCCAGTGCGTGATAAAGCTCGACACCAAGATATAGCTAGAGGTGATAAAACTTAATAGTTTATTCTTACAAAATAAAGACCGGTTAACTTTAGCAAAGCGAGATATATTTCCCCTAAATGAACAAAATGAACAAATTGCATACATTGTCTCCATTACGAAACAGAATGTGTCAGGTTAAAACATGCCCAGATCAAAGCGCGCTCCTTCAGTCAAAACAAACTAACCTGTTAACCTCCCTGCGTTCAGGGCGGGGAGGAATAAGGCACGAACATTTATCCTGAAAATAACTGTCCTGTATGATAATAATCAATTATATTGGTTACATATAAAAATCAGTGTGAACTGTAAAATTTGTTTGTTTAGATTGTCAAATGGAACCCTCAACTATTGATAGAACGAAGCGTTGTATTTTCTGTTTCTAAGTATAAACCCTTTAATATAAATTCTCAAGGTCTTAAATCAATTTGTGTCTATATTGTCTACACAGAAAAGTGAGCGAATGAAGGTTGTTTATGCCACAGTCATCGTTATTTGTATTGTTTACCTGGTAAGACGTGAAGAACGTGCAGGGGAGTGTCTGTCTTGTCCACGTAACAAGGAAGTAAATCCTACTTTCTGTATAGAGGTAGGAGGGGAGGTAACTTGTACAGCAACACGGTAAGTCTGGTTTTAGATGAGTCCCACACCTGCAGCCAAGTGAAGTGGTTCAAGCCTCATGTCAGATGGCCAGCGGTGTATGTTGGGGTATAAACTTTGTCTTGTGTAGGCTTTCATGGGTTGGAATAATGCCGATGCGACGTTAAATTTTTACTCACTCATGGGATGGCGTCTTCTTTGTACTGAAGATCATTGTCCTGTATGAGGATATTATTTGTACTGATTTAACTATTTTAAAGTAAGTGATAGAGCTGGGTTAAACAGAGTTATTAAAGTGATCTCACATAAACTTTCAAAACTGATTAGTCTCACACCATATTTAACATGTTTAGATTTGAGATAGTGTGTGTATGTTCTTTTGATATACTATTCATAACCCGGTATAACTTGTAACAATATTCTAATGACATTTATTTCCAGCTGATGATTGAGTGAGTGAATAGTAGTAGATTGCGACAGTGAAAACGTACAACATCTCTCCGGAGGTATTTTTCAAGTTCCACAGGAAAAGATCTTGCTGGTTCCTCGGGGGTCTTGGCTGTCGGTATCAGCTTGTGAATAGCTCCCAATGTTTTGCCAATATGCCAAGTAAGTAACACATCATCCAACCAATGAATTCTGGGAATGTACGACCAAACTCCCTTCATGTGGATCAAACTTCACGTTAGGTAACGTAATAACATCATATCCATCTCCTTAGTTGGTGTGGCAAATACTGTAGGATCCGAGGTCCGTGGATGGGCCTGCACCCGGGGAATCCGATCCGAAAGCAGGGTATCATGAGAGCCCGTAATTCACCCTGATTCACCCCGTTGTGGCCCTTGCTGATCCGAAATATGATGCACTGGATCGACAGCAACTACTGTAGGATCCGGGGGGCACGGGTGGCACAGTCGTCTAAGCCGCCGCGATTCGCTGTGCAGAGTTGCGTCCCTTGGGCACGCCAGGAACCTATGGTTGTGGGTTCGAATCCCGGTCCGCCCCGAATATGTTTCTAGGTTTGTCAGCACGTGGGTTTCACCGAAGTGGTAAACGTCTGAGACCTGCATCACTTCGGGCTTTCCTCCCACATTAAGCTGACACGCCGTGATATGACTGGAATACTGTAAAAAGCGGCGTTAGACCCAACTCACTCACTCACTGTAGGATCCGAGGTGCGTGGATGGGTCTGCACCCTGGGAATCCGATCCGAAAGCAGGGTATCATGAGAGCCCGTAACCGTCATCTTCCCGATCAAGAGCGTTAACTGACTATAAAAGTCCAGTTTCCACCCTTGCCGAATTAGGCTGGGATTATGGAGTTAGATTTTGACTGGGCTATTGAGTCTATGCATAGTCCAATCAAAATCGCGCACCGAAATCGATATTCGGTTCGTAAACTGTCATGCAGATTTCGGTCGATTGCAGGATTTGCAAAGCCTGTGCCTCGCCAACTCGTTGTCAACAGATATTTTCCAAATCTGTTCATGTTTTTAATCAAGGTGCTCACGTGATTTGATGTACTTCGCGAAGTAAGAACCGTTTTACCACAAAATAGATCTTGATAGTCGATAAGATCGTCTTCACTGGGCGCCATCGTTTTGTTTGAAACAAATGCATGTGATACGAGAGGTGGAATCTTATTA